AAGGTTTTTAATTAAAGAAAGAAGGGTAAAAATCATCTTTGTAAAATCAGGATGGAAAATAACTTTATAGGGTAATCAAATTCAAAGAGCCCAGAGGAACCCCCTCTAGCCTTAGGTTCAAAGTTACAGCAAACAGAGGTAAACCCACTAGCAAAAGGAACATTTACAAGTTGAGAAAATAAAGATAAACCTAACACGCCTTGCCTGGCTGTTACTTATAAGTTTGAAATATGAGAGAGTTGTTCAGAAGATTTGGAGAGCATGGAGTGATGTCTGGTCCCTCTTAGTCCCAAGAGCGAACAACACCCAAAACAAAGAGCACAAACAAAAGCCTTCCCCCCACCAAGAGCTGAAAGTATCTTGTCCCCTTATTGGTCCTTTGGGTCAGGTGTCAGCCAGGTTACCTGAGCTTCTTAACCCTTTACAGGTAAAAGGATTTTGGTGTCTCTGGCCAGGAGAGATTATGGTATTGTACACAGGAGGGCTGTTACCCTTCCCTTTATAGTTATGACACGCGTTGTTACAGAGGAGACACGTGTATGGTGCGTCCTCTCATCGAGACTTCATTTTTGTTCTTTCTTTGATTTTTTTCCTTTAAAAAAATGTTTAATGTGCCGAAAGAGAACAGTCACTCTTTTTTTTAATGGAAAACCCTAAAAGAAAATAAACATTTTTAAAATATCCAAAACATAACACAAATAATTCACATCTCATATTAAACCTAAATACACCCCCCACCCTCCCGATCTAACCTAGTATTGGCAGCTCAGCTGTTAAAAGCATGATGGTGACAAGGTGCATTTTTCAGATACATACAAGCTGTAGCCAATGAAAGGCAGTTTTAGAGTAAGAGTGCATCTAAAAATATGGCTGTTGTAGAGGAGAGCTGCAAGTCCATAGTTGTGACTAGTGAATTAATTCAAGAAAGTCTTATTTCCTGCGTTATTCAGGAGATAGCCTAGGTGATCACAGTGGTCCCTTGTTGCTTTTTCATCTGAGTGAATGTGCTGTCAAACATGATGCCTGACCAAGTGAAAATCTTCCTCCTAGTCTCTTCTGAAGGAGGTGGAAAGCAGCAAGAAGTCAATGGAATATGAACTTCAGAGACTGAACCAGGTTAGTTTAGGGGTTACTTGTGAATTGTCCAGTGGAGGCAGTAGCCGGGCTCCATGGATGCAATCGCACCCACAGAAATCAGGCCCAGATGTGCCCTTCTACAGGCAGGGTTGCCGGGGGTGGGGGCAAAATCACACCTCTCAAGTGTCCTGCACCAGTTGTTTCCATTATCTTAGCCAAAGTGCAAAAGGCAGGCTCTGTTTTAATGTTCTCTGGGGTATGTCTACGCTGCAATAAAGAACCCACGACACCGAATCTCAGAGCCTGGGTCAATTGACAGACTCTTGAGGCTCGGGCTGAGGGCCTGAAAATTCACAGTGTAGACATTTGGGCTGGAGCCTGGGCTCTGAGACCCATCCCCCTCGCGGGGTTTCAGAGCCAGACTCCTGCCCGAATCTGAACGTACATAAGAATGGCCATACGGGGTCAGACCAAAAGTCCATCTAGCCCAGTATCCTGTCTTCTGACAGTGGCCAATGCCAGGTGCTACAGAGGGAATGAACAGAACAGGTAATCATCAAGTGATCCACCCCTGTCGCCCATTCCCAGCTTCTGGCAAACAGAGGCTAGGAACACCATTCCTGCCCATCCTGGCTAATAGCCACGTATCCTCCATGAACTTATCTAGTTCTTTTTTGAACCCTGATATAGTCTTGGACTTCACAACATCCTCTGGCAAGGAGTTCCACAGGTTGACTGTGCATTGTATGAAAAAATACTTCCGTTTGTTTGTTTTAAACTTGCTACCTATTAATTTCATTTGATGATCCCTAGTTATTGTGTTATGAGAAGTAGTAAATAACAATTCCTTATTTACTTTCTCCACACTAGTCATGATTTTATAGACCTGTATCATATCCCCCCTTAGTCGTCTCTTTTCCAAGATGAAAAGTCCCAGTTTTATTAATCTGTCCTCATATGGCAGCCATTCCATACCCCTAATCATTTTTGTTGTCCTTTTCTGAACCTTTTCCAATTCCAATATATCTTGTTTGAGATGGGGTGACCACATCTGCATGCAGTATTCAAGATGTAGGCGTACCATGGATTTATATAGAGGCAATATGATATTTTCTGTCTTATTATCTATCCCTTTCTTAACGATTCCCAACATTCTGTTTGCTTTTTTGACTGCTGCTGCACATTGAGTGGATGTTTTCAGAGAACTCTCCACAATGGCACCAAGATCTCTTTCTTGAGTGGTAACAGCTAATTTAGATCCCATAATTTTATCTGTATAGTTGGGATTATGTTTTCCAATGTGCATTACTTTACATTTATCAACATAGAATTTCACTTGCCATTTTGTTACCCAGTTTTGAGAGATCCTTTTGTAGCTCTTCACAGTCTGCTTGGGACTTAACTATCTTGAGTAGTTTTGTATCATCTGCAAATTTTGCCACCTCACTGTTTATCCCTTTTTCCAGATCATTTATGAATATGTTGAATAGGACTAGTCCCAGTACAGACCCCTGGGGGACACCACTATTTACCTCTCTCCATTCTGAAAACTGACCATTTAATCCTACCGTTTGTTTCCTATCTTTTAACCAGTTACCAATCCATGACAGGACCTTCCCTCTTATCCCATGACAGATTACTTTGCATAAGAGCCTCTGGTGAGGGACCTTGTAAAAGGATTTTGAAAATCTAAGTACACTATATCCACTGGATCCCCCTTGTCCACATGCTTGTTGACCCCCTCAAAGAATTCTAGTAGATTGGTGAGGCATGATTGCCCTTTACAAAAACCATGTTAACTTTCCCCCTACATATGAAGTTCACCTATGTGTCTGACAATTTTTTTCTTTACTATAGTTTCAAACAGTTTGCCCAGTACTGAAGTCAGGCTTACCGGCCTGTAATTGCTAGGATCACCTCTGGAGCCCCTTTTAAAAATTGGCATCACATTAGCTATCCTCCAGGCATTTGGTACAGAAGCTGATTTAAATGATAGGTTACAAACCACAGTTAGTAGTTCTACAATTTCACATTTGAGTTCTTTCAGAACTCTTGGGTGAATACCATCTGATCCTGGTGACTTATTACTGTTTAGTTAATCAGTTTGTTCCAAAACCTCCTCTAATGACACCTCAATCTGAGACAGTTCCTCAGATTTGTCAGCTAAAAAGAATGACTCCGGTTTGGGAATTTCCCTCACATCGTTAGCCATGAAGATTGATGCAAAGAATTCATTTAGTTTCTCTGCAATGGCTTTATCGTCCTTGAGTGCTCCTTTAGGATCTCGATCATCCAATGGCCCCCAGGTTGTTTTGCAGGTTTCTTGCTTCTGATGTACTTAAAACAAAATTTTGCTATTACTTTTTGAGTCTTTAGCTAGGTGTTCTTCAAATTTCTTTTTGGCCTTTCTAATTATATTTTTACACTTTATTTGCCAGAGTTTATGCTCCTTTCTATTTTCCTCACTAGGATTTAACTTCCACTTTTTCAAGGATTCCTTTTTGCCTCTCACTGCTTCTTTTCCTTTATTGTTTAGCCACAGTGGCACTTTTTTGGTTCTCTTACTATGTTTTTTAATTTGGGGTATACATTTAAGTTGAGCCTCTATTTTGGTGTCTTTAAAAAGTTTCCATGCATCTTACAGGGATTTCACATTTGGCGCTGTACCTTTAATTTCTGTTTCACTAACTTCCTCATTTTTGTGTTCAACTTTCTGAAATTAAATCCTACAATGTTAGGCTGCTGAGGTGTTTTTCCCGCCACAGGGACGTTAAATTTAATTATATTATGGTCACTATTACCAACCGGTCCAGCTATATTCAGCTCTTGGACCTGATCCTGTCCTCCACTTAGGACTAAATCAAGAATTCCCTCTCCTCTTGTGGATTCCAAGACTAGCTGCCCCAAGAAGCAGTCATTTAAGGTGTCAAGAAACTTTATCTCTGCATCCCATCCTGTGGTGACATGTACCCAGTCAATAGGGGGATAGTTGAAATCCCTCATGATTATTGAAGTTTTTGTTTTATAGCCCCTCTACTCTCCCTGAGCATTTCATAGTCACTCACTATCCTGGTCAGGTGGTCAGTAATATGTCCCTACTGCTGTATTCTTATTATTAGAGCATTGAATTACTATCCATAGAGATTCTATGGTACAGTATGGTTCATTTAAGATTTTTACTTCATTTGATTCTACGCTTTCTTTCACATATAGTGCCACTCCCCCACCAGCACGACCTGTTCTGTCCTTCCGATATATTTTGTACCCTCAAATTGCTGTGTCCCATTGATTGTCCTCATTCCATCAAGTTTCTGTGATGTCTATTATATCAATATCCTCATTCAATACGAGGCACTCTAGTTCACGCATCTTATTATTTAGATTTCTAGCATTGGTATATAAGCTCTTTAAAAACTTGTCACTTTTTAGCTGTTTCCCATTACATGATGGAATTGAATGGGACACTTTTTCATTTGACAGTTTCTCATCAGATCCTACCCATATTTTATCATTTTCCATCTTCTCCTCCTTACTAGGACATAGAGAATCTCCATTAATAGATCCTCCCCTAAGGGATGTCTCTGTCCGAACCACATACTCCTCTGCACCTATCGGCTTTCCCCCAGCCCTTAAATTTAAAAAGGTCATTGAGCAGTTTTTAAACTAAGTGCCAGCAATCTGGTTCCATTTTGGTTTAGGTGGAGCCCATCCTTCCTGTATAGACTCCCCCTTTCCCAAAAGTTTCCCCAGTTCCTAATAAATCTAAACCCCTCCTCCCTACACCATTGTCTCATCCAC